TGAGTAAAGTCTTGTTCTTGTTCAGGATGCCATCCTCGATCTTTTGATTCATCCCAGCCTCACATCTGCACAGAGCTTTCACTCTGAGGAGTCCCCTCAGAAGGATCCAAATAGGTCCAGGCATTTTTTTTTATAGCTTTATTACAGTGTATTTTGAATATCATAACATCTACCCATTTCAAGTGTATAATTCAGTGATTTTTAGGAAATTTACCAAATGGTGCACCTATACCTGTAAATCAATTTTAGAACATTTTTATCACTGCAGTAAGATTGTTCTAGGCAGTCCTGGGGCACCTGGGTGGCTCAGTCAGTTAAACGTCTGACTTCGGCCTCAGGTCATGATCTCATGGTTTGTGGGTTCGAGCCCCAGGTCAGGCTCTATGCTGACAGTTCAGAGTCTGGAGCCTGCTTTGGATTCTGTGTCTCCCTTTCTCTCTGTGCCCATGCTTGTGCTCTCTTTCTCTCTCTCAAAAATAAATAAACATTAAAAATTTTTTTAATTTAAAAAAAAGATTCTTCTAGGGAGTCTTAACCTGATTTTTCTCCCCTTCTTCTTGCCTAGTTGATATCCATAGATTTAATATGCATATATACCATCCCAGTACATCCCTCTTTCTATCAAAAACAAACAAAAAACCCTGGAGATTCTAGGTACGTATAGTACCAAGAGAAGAAAGCAGTGAGTCCCAGGGCTGAGAGGAGGGTTTGTCACAGCAGCTGGCCTGTCATAAGGCCACAAGCAGGTTTCTCTTGGAAGGCAGTAAGGGCTCCAGGACACGGGGTGATGTCCTCACACAGAATCTGCCATCCCTGTAGAAACTGCCATAGTCGGGTCCAACGTGTAGTTTGGTAAATGTGAGCTAAGAGGGAGGTATAAGAGGCAGTGGGCACTCGAGCTCTGTGATGGAATAAGCATCAATGCCAGGGTCAAGGTCAGGCTGTTGTGCCAAACCACAGGGACAGGCCAGCAGCTCCACCCTTGGCATCCCTGCCACATGGCCCTGGGCTGCTGACATAAGCACCCACCCACACCCTGTTCACTGTTTGGAGAACCAGCTTGGTCAGCATGAGCTGCTGATTTAACTCTTCCAGACCCCGGCCACTCAGCCGGAACCTATACTCCTTCCACACTCTGACTTTTCTCAATGAAGATTAACTTGAGAGCACATGGGCATGGAGGGAGGGGTCAGAGGTACTGTATGGTTTCATCCTGCGTGAGGCTTTGGGCTGGCTGAAGCCATGTAGAACTGCTTAGACCAGACATTGGGTCACTCAACTCTCGTGCCTAGACCTGGAGGCCCGGGAACGGCAGGCGCAGGCCCATGGCAGTGAGGAGGAGGAGGAGAGCGGGAGCACCAGGACGCTGGAGCAGGAGGTGAGCATCCGGGCGTGCTGGTCTAAAGCCATCTGCCGGAGAAGGAGGAGGGTGAGCCTAGGTGGCTGTCGTGGCTGTCTTCTGTGGGATCTGGGTAATCTGTCCAACCCACAGGTTGCTGAGCCCTAGCTTGCAGGTGGAGCCTCCCAGGGACCTTCACAAGGTGAGCCAATCTGGAACTGGATCTGCACAGAATTGTCACTCCCCCCAACCCCGCTCTGCAGATCGAGCGCCTTCGAGAAGAGGGTTCCCGGCAGCTGGAGGAACAGCAGAGGCTGATCCGGGAGCAGATACGCCAGGAACGGGAGCAGAGGTTGAGAGGTAGGTGTCCATCACTCCCACCCGCCGCCCCTCGGAGGCAGCTCCAAAGGCCCAGAGAGGTCACGCCGGCTACTTGGTGGAGGTGCTGTGGAGACTTCCACCTTCTCGGAACCCCAGGGGCACCTGACTCAGACATAAGCCACCTGTTCCTTCTTCCTACCACTTCTCTGGGGCCTATTTGTTTTTCATTCACCCTGAGAGCTCCTGTCCCTGTTTGTGTTAGTCCTAAGCAGAGCTGGCTCTATTTGGAGATCAGTAGGGGAAAGGCTCTGGATACTTTGTTTCAGTAGAACTGTGGGGTTGGAGCCACTGCCTCATGCCCTTGGAAAGCATTCAGAACCCTTCGTTAGCAGGGTGATAGTCACAGCCTTGAGCAGGCAGCTGGAGGCGGCGGCTCCTCGGGATGGGAGTGGGATTGCCCCTACCTTCCCCACCGGGCTCCTCAGCAGGGCAGGCCAGATCTGCCTTTGGTCAGGAGTGCCCTTTCCTAGGCCCTTCAAGCACTGGACTGTGTCTCCTTTAGAGAATTTTGTGCTCCCTCCTATTCTAACTTGCTAATTTTCCCAAATTTTCTAGGAAAGGTAGAAAATCCCGAAGGCAGAGGAACCCCCAAGCTAAAGGTGAGCCCTGCGGGATCCACGGGCCGCCTGACACCACCTCTTGTCAGCAAGAACAGATGCCTCCGGTGGCCCAGGGTGTTCTAGCGGGGACACTGGGTCTCTGGGAGCCAGTGCCACCACCCACTCCTTCCATGCTGTCACTGCCTGGGATATGAATGGCCTCTCCGAGCTTGCCACGAAGGCTACTCTTAACATTGGCAGTTGCCAGGCAGCACTGCTCAGAAGCCCTGGAAAGAGAGAGTCTCATAGGCCTAGATGTGTGGCTGTCTGGGTGAGCTGGCCTCCCTGCCTGTCCGATTTCAAGAGGAACGCATCTTTAGCAGGGGGGGTCCCTAGATTACAAGTACCTGGAAGACCATGAGGGTGTCACTCAGACTGTAAAGCTCAGGTGTGGGGCTGGGACTGTTTAGGTCAAAGTCAGAGTTTAATGGTGACACCCACTGCCATCCTTTCAGCTAAAATGGAAGTGCAAAAAGGAAGATGAGTCAAAAGGCGGCTACTCCAGAGATGTCCTCCTACAGCTTTTCCAGAAGGTCTGCCCTGCCTCCTTCCCTCTTTCCCATCATCTCCATCTGTATCTCAGCCTAAACCCTGGATCTGCAGGCCTAAACTCGCCTAACATCTCTACCAGCCTTTTTTTCTGTCTCACAGACCATATAGCGGCCTAGAGGCTTTCCCCAGCTACCTGTGTTGCCGTGTGCCCTCCCTCCTGGTCCCACCTTCCCTACCCAGACTAGCCCTTGTCGTCTTGAGTATGTGGGGAGAGACGAGGTGGGCAGGTTGCACAGAAGCCCCGTCCCCTTCCGCACCTGTGGTCCCCGAGGCAGCTTTGCAGCTCTGCCAGTCTGAGTTCTCAGTCCTTTGGTCAGGTTTCCTTTGCTATCCTTCTTCACCCTGGCAAAGATATCCTTTCTTTCCCATCTCTGATCCCTCTCTGGGAACTTAGCAACAAAGCATTATCCTCCAGCCAAAAATGCCCCAGCAGGCCTCAGGGCAAACTCAGGCTTGTCTTGCTCCTTGCCTTGCTTACTGGGACCCCCCTGTCCTCACAGTATGGAGAGGTGCTCAACCTGGTGCTTTCCGCCAAGAAGGCCGGCACCGCCGTGGTGGAGTTTGCGACCGTCAAGGCTGCGGTGAGTGCCGTGTGAAGCTTTGGGGGGCCACTGGTGGCCCCACCACTCCAGAGTATGGATCCACTACTGTGGGCCCTCTGAGCTTAGGTATCCATACTCCCCCTCAGAGCCAAGACTCCCCAGAGCTCCCCCCCACCCCCCCATTCCTGGGAGTAGAAGCACAACGAGTGAAGGTAAGACAGGAGAATGCTCTGGGGATGAAGGAGACCATAGTCTGACTTCGTTTCCCGCTGCCTGGCTCTACACCCTCCACCTTCAACCCTTCTATAGAAGCTGGCACGCCTCCCGGCAGGCTTTGCCTCTCCCCCCACTCCCCAGTTAGCAGGTTCATACCCCCCACCCCATGAGGAGGGTCAAAACTTCAACACATCATTCTGCCAAGGTTGCTTGGTTTTGCCTGGAGATTGAGAGCTGGTGCGGGTTCTTTGTGTGGGTGTAGAGAGAGCTACTCTCTGGCTGATTAGAGCCGTGGGACCAGGACTGGGTGCTGTATCTGGCAGGAGCTGGCTGTCCAAAACGAAGTGGGCCTGGTCGATAACCCCCTGAAGATTTCCTGGTTGGAGGGACGGCCCCAGGGCGCAGGGGGTCCCAGCCACCTAGGACTGTCACAGGTAAGGAACCACGCCTCCCCTAGCTGGGTCTGCTGCTTGGGGTCTGAGGGACCTTTTCCTGTGGGGGCTCATCTCAGGGCCTTTCCTTACAAGGAGCACAGTGCAATTGGCAGATTTGCCAACCTAAGCAGGACTGAGGTTCTGTTCTGACTCTTTTCTGTCTCTGAGTGCCCGGACCCCACCCCACACAGAATTCCTAGATTCTCTCCATCTCCTGTCTCCTGTGGGGGTTGTCACCACCACCCAGAGGGGCTTTCCTGGCCCATGAGTTGCTTGGTTGTGGCGTGAAGTATCTGGCGTTTAGATTATCAGGTACTGCCAAGAAGGAAGGGGCGGTGAGCAGCTGCTACCTCCCCAGCTCCACTTCTCCAGGTGAATCTGTGGCTGCCACACACAGGCCACAGGCGCCTATTGTGAAAAGGCAGTATCTCCTTAGAAATGACACTGGCTACCCTGCTGGCCCCAGGGCTCCCCCTGGGGGCACGCCTCATGGTGAAGCACAGATTTCAGCTGATGTGCTCCTGGCGCTGGCTTAGTCCTCACAGTTCCATGAGGACTTTTGTTCAGCACCCAGACCTGCTTGCACTGCCCCACCTTGGTGGGACAGAAAACTTTCAGGCCCAGAGCTCTCCCATCTCTGAAATGGCCTTTGGGTCTATGCGGGAGCCACAGGCTGCTATGTGCACGACCAGCTCTGGGGGTGGTGGGGAGGGCCCCCGGGTGTTCACAAGGGCTTTGCTCTTACTACCTCAGTCATGCCACTTCTGCTGTCCTGTGTGCTCCTCACCTGGCTGTGAGGAGGGGAGACTCCCTAGGAGTGTGTCCCAGATCCTGGGCAGAGGAAGAAGATGAACTGGTGTAAGCCCAGTTAGAGACGTCATTTCCCACTGTTAAGTCCCAGCATTTCACAGCCCCAGAGGACACTCCATAGGCCATGTTATAAAGAACTTTATTCATTATCTCTTGCATCCGGAGGGGAGCCTTTCGGCTCAGGACATCCACACAGAGGAGAGGAGAGAGGGGTTGCAGGTTTGGGTATGGAAGCAGTGTACATAGAAGCTTCTTCTCTCCCTCTGCCATGCTTGAAAAGGCCTGGGGTGCCAAAACCGTGTGGCCCAGACAATTTGGGCTCTGGTTTCAAGTCTTCTGGCCAGACCACAGAGCAGGGCAGTAGCAGAGCCTATGGCCTTGACCCAGTGGGCTCTGCCCTACATGTTGGGCCCCCATCATCAGGGGTTCGGGCAACGCAGAGCTCCCCAGTCCTGTGGACGATTCTGGAGACCAGCTGAGCCTCTTCATAGTAACAGCCACGAGTTTCGTGTCCATCCTCTGATCCAGTCCTGTGCTCCCAGGGCAGGAAGGAGGGAAATCTGCCACCTTTCTGCTACATTTCTCAAGGGCTCCCATCACTAGTAATTGTGGGAACTCTCTGAGCACCCCATTGTGAGCTGTATCTGTGCCTTTGGCTGGCATTCCCTCAGACACCTTCCTTGGGCACCAGGGCGTGCTCTGGGCAGCTCTGTTGGGTCTCGCATCCCTTTTCTGGAAATGATTTGTTTGGCTTTTTTTCCTGATTCTACCTTGCACCTCTAAATGCCTCGCTCTTCCTACTCTGCCAGCCCCTCCCCCCAGATTCCTCTCCCCCTCCCCCCACCATGGTACTGGTGGCTCAGGGCTCTGGTCTGTCTATGCCAGTGCTAACAGGACTTTCTCCAGTAATGTTCACATTCAACTTGCACTGTGCAGGGTGTTAGCCACTAGTCACGTGTGGCTGCTGAAGATTTGAAATGTGGCTAATGCCACCAATGAACTAAATGTTTAATTTTACTTGATTTCAGTCTGAACAACCACATGTACCTGGTGGCTCTCCCCTCAGGTCTCCCCACTCTCCTCTTTGGCCTGGGTCAGACCACTTTTGCCTAAACCTGTCTTGTAATGTCTCTCTATAAACAGTGGCTTCAGAGGGGGCTGGTGCAGGGCACCCATCTGATCTGCTCAGTGTGCGTGTCCTTCACTCCCTGACTCACCCCTCTCCTTGGGCTCCCCTCCCCCTCTGCTGGCCTCTGCCTTGTCCCCGCGGTTACAGGCATGGCCTCCCTTTCCCAGCCTAGCCAGCTGCTTTCAGGGCTCCTGCCAGCAAGTACCCCCTCACAACTTTCCCGGCTTGCCTCTGTGCCTCTGACCCTCTGCTCCAGGGTCACAGGGAGGACTGTTGAGGACCCAGAGGGCAGGCAGGATCCTGGATTTCTGTCCCTACCTTAATCTGCAATCGTACCCTCCTTCCCTGGGTCTCCAGGCTTCCAGCTCTTCCAGTTACCCCACGTCTGCCTTCCACGCACTCCATTTAGAAGTTAGGCTCATTGGGAAATTGTTCCCTCAGCATCTGTAGAACTTCCTCAAGAAGTGAAATCCCCAGGTCCACTTTGAAGGAGAAGAAGGGATCACTGAGGTCTGGGGCAGGTGTCCTCTGGAAGGGGGGAGTGTCCAAAAGGTCCTCTTCAGAGTAGTGGTGGAGGGTGCCCGCCAGGGAGAGCGACGAAGGCAGGGTAGCGGCGTAGGCGGCAGTGTAGGCAGGTGGGGGCTCCAGGATGTTGGGGCAGCTGGAGCTCTCTCGGTAGAGGCGAGGAGGCTTGGGTGGGGCCAGCAGGGTGGCCCGGGGCTGCTCGTCCCCCCACAGAGGCAGGCGCCGGCCATCTGGCCTCCCTCGCAGCTCCCGGATGACCTCTCGGTTGCTGTACTCCTCGTGATCCCCGCCAGCCGTGCTGGCCTGACTGAGCACGCTGCCCTGTCGCCGGAGTCGCCTCGGCCGCCCCAGGCTCAGCCGCTTGAAGAAGGAGGCGTTGCGGAAGGAGCCTTTCCGCCAGGTCTCCATTAGCACCCCGCGGAGCCAGCAGACAAGCTCGGTACCTCAGCAGCCCAGTTCAAGAGTTGCCAGGGACCATGAGGTCCCTACCGGAGCAGCGAATGGCAAGAATCAGGGAAGACAGCCCTAGTGGGCTAGAAGCACAGACCTTTGGCCAGCATCTTAGTTGGTGGGAAGGGCTCCTGGGGAGAGCACTTTTGTCCAGGAGAGCAGAGGTGGGAGTCCCTGGTGACAGGAGTTGCCCAGAGGGACAGGAGTGCCCTGGTTACTTGATAGGGCAGTGGAAAAAAAAAAAAAAACAACGCAAGAGGAAGAAGCAGCACTTACTGGAGCGGGAGTGAGGGCAGCGCCTGTGGTGTCAGAGATGGATCTTCGTGCTGAGTGGCCTGTGCTGTTTCCTCAGCGCTCTGGTGGTCCCAAGATCACCTTCCCTCCCTGGCCCCAGCGCCTGGCTTTAGGGCAGCGCAGGGCCAGGCCTCTCTGCGGCGGCTCCCGGACTCTGATTAGTGGCTTGGCTGTTTGTGCCAGTGTGTGGCAGTGGGGACGTATGATTGTTTTCAGGTGACTCAGTCAGGTGGGAAGCTGGGTTTCATGCTCTTAGGTAATTGCAGCATCCGCATGCAGGGATTGGGCCAGCCGAGGCCAACACCCCAGGGCACTGGGGAGCTTAGGCTTCCCCTGGGGACTTTCGAGGGGCAGCCCTGCCTGGTGTGTCATCACGTTGTCTCCTTTTCCCCACAGCCCCGCTGCTCTGGGCCCTCGCTGGTGGGCCTGGCTCCGCGGCCGCCCCTCCATGTGTCTGGGAGGGAGGAGCTCAGGGAGGGTGGGAGTTAATTGAAAGGCAGGCATGTGGAACAGTTGTTGGGGAAGGAAGAGAGACTTGTCACTGATGTGGGTGACTCAGTCCTGCGGCCTGGTGACAGGCCCTCATTAGCCAAGCCTGCAGGTATGGGGGGGGCTGGGCAGAGGGTGTGTTAATGGGAAGCAGCCCCATGCCTATAAAGGGCTGGCTCCTCCCAGGGCTGGGCTCGGGGCATGCCAGGGTGACTCTTCAGTTTTCTCAGCAGAGCAGCATTACCTTGGGGAGGGGAAATTGCCCTCCCCTGAGCCTGACCCTCAGTCTGGCCATTCCTCATCTTCCTCGATTTACTCCGATAGCCTCAGGGCCAGAGAGAGCAGTTGAGGGCCAGGGGTCCTGTGGCCTCCTTTCCCACCATGCTCCAGGCCTTCTTCCCCTCAGGCCTCTTGGGCCTTATTTGGGGTCCCTCCTCTGGGGAAAGGGCTAGGCCACAGAGGCCTGCCCTGAATTGTCAGCAGTACCCTGGGCCAACCTTAGGTGTGTGGGTCCGGCTGCCAGGACAGCTGTCCTGGCAGCTACTGCAGCTAGAAGCAGGAAGGCTGGCGCTAGTCTGAGAAGCAGGGGCATCCGAGCTGAGTAACACTTCCCGGTTCTGTACACCCTTTACTTCAAACCAGTTGGCCCAGGTCTGGCATCTTAATCCTAGCCACTCCCTTCTTATCCCCCAGGTCACTGACCACTGAACTTCCCCCTGAATAATTCCATGAGTGCACACTCTGATGTACCAAAGAACAGGGCTCAGCGATGTGCTCTGCCTCGCATCCCCTGGCCTGGCTCACTTCTGGGCCGGGCTCCACGCCTCACACCACTCCAGCTGTACTGACAGAAGTGATTTAATTCCCATTGCAGACCTTATCAGGGTGTGGCTTGGGTGCATCAAGTCTCCTCTGTAGAGCTGCCTCTCCACCCCACAGCCTTGGCCCATTGGGTTGCTTATTATTCTTTTGATTATTAATATATAGCGCTCTTTAATCCTCCACACTGTGCTGGCAGGATCATAAAAAGGCATGGGCCCTGCCCTCCAGCCGCGCTGGTGTGTATTTTTAAGAGGCAAACGGCCTCATGCTTGTTTCTCTCTCCTTCTAGGGCAGGCTGACAGGCTGGGTCTAGGGTAGGGGTGTGTGTCCCGCAGGAGCCAGACCAGAGGGAGGTGGGCCGCCGGGAGGGGCGGTGCTCTCCCCTCCTCCTGGCAAAGTGGAGTGGATTTCTGCATCTCAGACAACCCCTTCACTGCAGACTTATGAGAAGCAGGAGTCACGGGTGGAGGAAAGGAGTCTCCAATGAAGGGCAGAGAGGAAATGGAGGGAGACAGGGCCTGGGTGGAGCACGAATAAGTGACTCAGCCGGAGAAGCTGAAGCAGGGCTGACTGTTGATGGAAGGCCTGCGGGGAGGGGAGTGAGAGTTGCCTGAGATGGCTTAGAGGAGGCCAGCTGAGAAGTCCCGGGCATCGTCACCCCTTGCCTCAAGACTAGCTCTCCGTAGGCCCAGACCTCCACGTCTGGATTCTTTGGGGCTGCGCCGTCCTGTCCTGACCGTCTTCCGCCCCCGTCTGTCCGCCAGGGCTCAGTGCTGTCGGAGAGGGACTATGAGAGCCTCGTCATGATGCGCATGCGCCAAGCCGCTGAGCGGCAACAGCTGATCGCCCAGATGCAGCAGGAGGACAAGGTGGGGCAGCCCACGTAGCCTCCTGCCTCCAGCCCACTCCCCCGCCCTCGTCTTCACCGTCACCAATAAAGTTTGGTTTTGTTTTTTTGTTTTTACAAGAGTCTATCTCTATTGCGTGTGGGGATGTAAGGTGCTGGCTTGCCCAAGCAGGGCCCTGGTTTCTGGGCTCTGCCGGAGAGGGTTCCACCCTGGCCTGGCTCTCCCTCCCCAGGAGTGGGCAGACCCCCAGGGAGGTGCTCCACACAGTGAGAGTCAGCGGGCCAGCGGCGCAGAGAAGCAACCACTCATCACAGTCCTTTATTGGCTTGGACTAGCTACGCAGGACCCTCCCACCCAGTCCTGGGGCCATGCTCCTCACCGGCTCCCAGTTTCTGGCCAGGGACAACCTGGGTCATGCGGGTCCCTCAGGCTGCCCACAGAACATGGCCTCCTCCAGGGCTGTCAGCCAGGCGCAGAAGCTGGAGGGCCGGCTGAGAGCACCAGAGCAGGGGCCCTGCCCTCCCCCACTAGCTGAGGCAATTTTCAGAAAAGGCCGTTCACTGCCCAGTGGTGCTGGTCTAAGGAAAATGGCAATTTGGGAAGAGAAAGGCCGGGCAGTGAGTGAACGGGGACTCAGGATCGGGGCCCATGGCAACCACTCAGAAAAAGATGCGCCGTCTGCTCCTCAGCATGAGAGGGTCACTCCTTGTGCAGGCACCACACCAGCGTCTGGCCCACCCCTGTCATGCTCAGCACACGGAAGCCCTTGTGTTCCAGTTTGTCCAGGACTATGCGAGGAGGGTCATTAACAAAGTACTCACAACTGTGAAGAGAAGGCGAAGAGGAGACAGCATGAGGGGGTACACAGCACAGGTTCCCCAAGTAATACTAGTATCTGCTGACGCCTAGGGCTGGTCAGGAATCCTTGTAGTGACTGACATTTACTGGGTGACTTCCAGGTGCCAGGTTAAGTGCACATTGCCTGCCCCCTCCCCTGCTAAGCACTTGGCTTGCACATTTTCTTTCTTCCTCCCAATAACCCAAGGGAGGAACCGTTATTGTTCCCATTTTATAATTATAAAACTTGGAGCGCTAAGTAGCTTTCCAAATGTTACTGAAATCATAGCATCCATGATGACAGCCCCACGTGCCCTGGGCCGCTGCACTATTCAGGAGGAAGGGCCTGTTCTCTCCAGGGTCCTCCCCCAGGCCCCTGCCCCCTCTTGTTGCTCTGTCCTGCAGTCCTGGGGCAACAGGTTGGCCCCTAACAGCTCCTCGCTCTGGGTGCTGCTCCCTGGCACTGAGAATACTTGCTGTCCCTTCGTTAAGGGTTAAGTGATCATGAAGTGTTGTCAATCAGATAAAAGGCTCAAGCCCCAAGTTGGGCATCTCGAGACAAATGGCTCATGGTGAAGGAATGTGGCTGGCTTCAGCCCTCCAACCCTGACCCAAGGGGCTGGGGCCAGCTTGCCTCCTCTTTCCCCTCTTTGAACTGGGGCTCATTCCGACAACCCTTCTCACGAGTTGCAAGACAGCAGCTGAGCTGAAAGTAGGACCCGGGCTGCCTGCTGCCTGTTTCCAGAGTTCAGCTTTCTTACCCAGGTAGCTCTTCAAGAGAGAAACTTTTCTCTCTGTGCCTATCTTTGCCTTGATGGGGTCCAGCTCCAAGATGAGAGGGCAGAGTAAAGAACAGTCCACCTATGGAGTCATGGAGTCCTATACCCAGCTGGACTCCGTCCTGGGGCCCCCTTGTGAAGGGAGGGCCAGTGAGAAATCTTTCAGAGCAAGCCTGGGGGCTGTGGGAAAGCTGCAGACAGGACCGACCCTATAAGAAGACAGAGCCCCAGGATGCAGGCAGGGCCTCCGATGCTGAGTGGTGGGTCCCTGGGCTTCACTTTGTACAAAAAACAGGGAGAGGCCTATAGGGGCTGGCAGGGAGGAGATCCTTAAGACTGCCACTACTTACAAGTTGTTTCCCAAGACGCTTCTCTTTGAGGCCCCCAGATACCGCATCAGCTCTGGATCAGAGTGCTCATCGCCCACCATGGTAGGACCCACCTCCTGCAAGGTAAGCCACAGTGGCTGCTTGGCTGGCGGCCTGGGAGAGGTGGAAGGTCTCTCTCCTTCCTCCCCTGCCTGCTGGCCCTGAGCCAGCTTCAGTTCAAGGCTGGAAAGGGTGGTGAGGAAACTCACTGGCCCTCCGTGATCAGGCCAGGCCATGTGAAGCCTCCCCAGCCCCTCCAAACTGAGCTGGTCGTGGCCCAACTACTGGCAACTTCCTGCCAAGCATTGCTACCTGTGTCTGCATGTATCAGAATCACCTGGAAAACAGAAATGAAAATACATCCACATAACTTGTACAGGAATGTGCATAGCATTATTCACAAGAACCAAAAAGTGAAAACAATCTAAATGTCAACAGATGAATGCATAAATAAAATGTGATATAGCTACACATGCATTAGATCTTACTAGGCAAAAAAAAAAAAAAAAAAGGAATCAGGACAAATACATACTACAATATGGATGAACCTTGAAAATACGTACGTTTTCAGAAACCAGGCACAAAAGACCACATATTACCATAGAAATGGTAATCTAGTGGTTGTTTAGGGCTGGGGGATTTGGGGGAAATGAGGAATGACCGCTAACATCCATGGTATGGGTACAGGGTTTTTTAAGGTGATGGAAATGTTCTAAAATGGATTATGGCGTTGGCTGCACAACTCGAGTATGCTTTAAAAAACACTGAATTGTACACTTTTAATTGGTGCGTTCTATGGTATATGTATGCTTTGTATCAGTAAAGCTGTTATATTTTTTAAAATATCGCCTGAAAAGCACTGAATTCCTAACCCCCAGGCTTAGTATTTGGGGAGGCCTGGGGAGGGGCCCAGGAAGCCACATTTTAACAACTGCACAAGTAACTGGTTCTCAAACCACTGCCCTAGGACACTGCTAAGACCTCACCTGGCACGCGGTAGCTTCCCTGTTATCTCCACCTCCAGAGAGTTGTGCACCCGCTGATGGGTCACCCGTGCCCTGGGGAGTGAGAAGGGGCGGAGGTGCCCCTTTGGGGTGCCCAAACTATTCTGAAGTTAAAAGGGGATTCCTGGAGCCACCGGCACTGTCTTGGACGAGTCAATTACACCCAGAGAAAGGGGCATCGCTTCTGACCCTGGAATGGTCTCCCCACCTCTAACCACAGGGCCTGTCCCCCCGCCCCCCCCTTGTCTTTCCTACGGGCTCAGGGATAGCTCTTTTTGAAAGTGCCTGAGGGCCAGGCACTTGACATAGGTGTTTTAGTGTCTTAGCACGTCATTTTCTTTTTCAAACCTCTTTCTCCCATGTATTTGCACTCCACCCCACCCCCACCCCCACCTCCTGCGAAGCGGCTCTGTGTAGGGCCGTGGGTGCTGCACCATGAGGCCAGGGGGTCCTGGGTTCCTCGCGCGGACAGGTAGGACAGGAGCCCCAAGCGCCCGGAGCTCGCTCCGTGGCGAGGATGCACGCACTCCGCTCTCTTCGCGGCCCTGGAAGCGCAGGGCCGGCCAGGACCCCCCCCACCCAGGTCCCGCGCTCCGGACTGACTCCGCTCCCCAGCCTCAGCTCTTCAGCCGGAGGGGGCGTGTCCCGGGCGGCTTCCGGATCCAGTCACTGGCAGGCGCTGCTCGAGAGGGAGGCGCCAAGGTGCAGTCGCGGCCCCCTCGGCCCGGGCCCGGTCCCAACTCCATCCAACTCGCGGGGCGGCGGGTACTCACCATGCGGATCTGGGTGCTGATGAGCAGGTAGGGCATGGTGCGCGCGTCCCGGCCAGACTCCCACCCAGGGCTTTGGGCTCGGCGCTGACGCCAGCCCCTCAGGCTCGGGGACTGCGACCCGCCGCCGGGAGTCCAGTTACTCCAGCTCTGGCCTCGGGCGGCGCCAATCCCGGTGCGCCCAGCCCGTGACAGCCGCGGCCGGCCAATCAGGAGCGGGCGCCCGTGACGCGCCCGGGCTCCAGGCGACTCGGGGCCCGCCTCCTGCCCTCCGGGCCAGGCTGTGGGACGCTGGCGCGCCCGGCTGCTTCTGCGGGTGGTCCAGGCAGACAGAGGGGTGCAGTTTGCCGAGGACGCCCCCGCACCCTCGGCCCGAAGTAGGGGGTGACCCGCAGGGCTCGGCTGGCTGCGGCCAGCCGTGGTGCCAAGCGTGCGTGTAGACTGTGCTCCCTGTTTCTTGCAACACCTCCAGTACTAGGTTCCAAAGTCCTGCGGGTCCCCTCCCCCCTCCCTGTGAAGCCGAGCCGGGAGCAGTCGGCTGTCCTGCAGAAGCCTCCCAAGCTCCAGCCCACCCCACCCAGGCACACCTCTAAAGCTTTTAGCGGATCCCCACTTCCTGTCCGCGCACAGGAGAAAGCGGTGAGAGGCTTGTGGCTGCAGCTAAAATGCCATCTCGTGTGCACTGCGCATTTCCTCCTCCCTGCCTGTAATTCCCAGTACAGCAGCGGAATCTTGCATTTCTGTGACCCCATTGGTAAATGTGTAAAGGAACTGAGCACTTGGCTGTGTGCCAGTCCGGGAGGGATTTGAACCGACGGAATCTGACCCTAGCTTCGGAGAGCTTCCCGCGGAGCTGGAAAGACGCAGCGCACGCGCAGGAAATCATAAGGCAACACCTGGGGCAAAAGAAAGTACATCCTTGGCACTAAGCCACCAATGAGGGAGCAGCAAGTGTACCTAGGTGTGTCCACGCCCTCATCTAGACGTTTCAAAATCTGAGAACTCAAGATTCTTTATCTGCCTGTGATTGGTTCTCCAAAAAACAAAGCAAACAGAAACAGCCTGTAACCTTTCCTGGCCTTTGAACAATCTTCCTATCTATAAAGGGCACTTAGAGGATGTGCTCTGTGCCTCCAAGCACTTTGACAGAGGTGCAGCGCGCTGTAAGGGAAGTAGGCAGTTGTAATTTTAAAGGACTCTTACCGGTCTAATTTATTATTCCGTACTCTTACCCCTAGTCTACACCTCCAACACTAACAACTTAGCTGGAGAGATAAGATATTCATGCCTGAAAAAGGATTTGTTAAACTGACAAAGGATTAATAGTCAACACATATAAAGAAGGCCTGCAAATCAAGGATAAAAAAGATACATGAACAGGGGCACCTGGGTGACACAGTAGGTTAAGTGTCTGACTTCAGCTCAGGTCAGGATCTCATGGTTCATGGGTTCGAGCCCCGCGTAGGGCTCTGTGTTAACAGCTCAGAGCCCCAAGCTTGCTTCCGATTCGGTGTCTCGCTCTCTCTGCCCCTCCCCCTCCTTGCTCTTTCTCTCTTTTCTTTTCTTCTTTTTTTTTTTTTTTTTTTTAGAGAGAAGGAGTGTGCACAAGTGCGCATGCCCACATCCTAGTGGGAGAGGGGCAAAGGGAGAGAGAGAATCTTAAGCGGGCTCCACGCCGATGCCTGGGGAGGTGGGGGGGGGGGCTCCAGCCAAGACCACAGGATCATGACCCACCAACTGAGCCACCCAGGTGCCCCAAAGTTGTTGGGTTTTTTTTTTAATTTTTTAGTAAACTATATCCCCAACATGGGATTTGAACCCCATGTTCATGAAACCAAGGTCAAGAGTCTCTTGCTCTTTGAACTGAGCCACCCAGGCACCCTCTCTTTCTTTCTCAAAAAGAATAAACAGTAAAAAACAAAAACAAAAACAAAAAAAACCACCTTTTTTAAAAGATAAATCAACAACAACAACAAAAAGGGCAAATGACTTGAATAGGCACTTTTCAGAAGAGGGAATGGAATAGGTTATTAAACTGATAACGTGTTGTTCAATGTCATTAGAAATCCCAGAAATGCAAATCAAGCTACATTTTATTTATTTGTTTGTTTGTTTAATTTTTAAAGTAAGCTTCACACTCAGTGCAGAACTTGAACTCACAACCCTGAGAGCAAGACCTGAGCTGAGATCAAGAGTCAGACGCTCAGCCTACTTTGACTCTAGTCATGATCTTATAGTTTGTAAGTATGAGTCCCACATGGGGCTTTCTGCTGTCAGCACAGAGTCTGTGTCAGATTCTCAATCTTCCTTTCTCTCTTCCTTTTCCCTGTTCATTCTCTCTCTCTTGCATGGGCACCTGTGAGCTCTCTCTCAAATATAAATAAAACGTTTAAAAAAAAAAGTCAGATGCTTAACTGAATGAGCCACCCAGGTGCCCCTCAAGCTACATTTTAAACCTCAATGAGATACAACTTTATTATTATTTTTAATGTTTGTTTATTTTTGAGAGAAAGAACACAAGTGGAGGAGGGGCAGAGAGATACAGAATCCCAAGCAGGCTACAGGCTCGAGCTCAACCAACTGAACTATCCAGATTCCCCAAAAGAATACTACTTTAATGATTTGGTAAATAAATAAATAAATCTGTAAACACTGAGTACTGGTGAAAACATCTAACAACAGAAACACTACTGTTGGCATTGAAGTGTGTTATGATTGATACAATCACCTTGGAAAACAATTTGGCATCACCTAGCAAAGCTGAAGTTGTGCATTTGTATGACCCAGCCAAACCGTTTCTGGATAAACCTCAAGAAAACTCACTAATTAGGATACACATGTGCAAGAATATTCATAACAGCACTGTTTGTAATTAGCAAAAAAAAAAAAAAAAAAGGCAACAGTTCTTATGTCCATCAAGAGTAGGATTTGAGGGGCGCCTGGGTGACTCAGTCGGTTAAGCGTCCAACTTCCGCTCAGCTCATGATCTCACGGTTTGTTGGTTCGAGCCCCGCGTCGGGCTCTGTGCTGACGGCTAGCTCAGAGCCTGGAGCCTGTTTCAGATTCTGTATCTCCCTCTCTCTCTGACCTTCCCCTGCTCATGCTGTCTCTGTCCCTCTCTCTCTCCCATTCTCTCTCAGAAATAAATAAAACATTAAAAATTTTTTTTAAATTTTTTTTATTTCTAGGAGAGAGAGAGAGAGACAGCGTGGGCAGGGGAGGGTCAGAGACAGAGGGAGTCACAGACTGAAACAGGCTCCAGGCTCTGAGCCGGCAGTCAGCACAGAGCCCGACGCGGGGCTCGAACCCACGAACCGCGAGATCATGACCTAAGCGAAAGTCGGACGCTTAACCGACTAAGCCACCCAGGCGCCCCTAAAAAAATTTTTTTTAAGAGTAGGGTATTAGATTAATACAATAGAAACTGCATAGCAATGAACAATGCTAAGTGAAAAATTAAATCATGGAAAATATACACTAATTCTACTTAAGACTCTAAACTTGTGGGGCAGCTGGGTGGCTCTGTTGGTTAAGGATCCTACTTCAGCCCGGTCATGATCTCACTGTTCCTGAGTTTGAGCCCCATATCAGGCTCTGTGCTGACAGCTTAGAGCCTAGAGCCTGTTTCAGATTCTGTGTCTCCCTCTCTGTCTCTGCCTCTCCTCCGCTCGTCTTCTGTGTTGCAAAAAAGAATAAACACTAAAATTTTTTTAAAAGAACCCTCTAAACTTGTAAAACTAACCAATATATTGTGTGGGGATGAAAAACATATATGGTTAAATTATACTTCTACTAAAAATATGTGGTTAAATTATAAAGACAAGTGAGGGAAAGATAAATGTAATATTCAAAGCAGCATTTATTTATTCCGAGAGAAGTGAAAGGAATGGGGTGGGGACAGCCATGTAGGAGCCTTATAAGGCCAAAGTGATGTTCTCTTTCTCTCACTAGGACCTGAGTGCTAAGGGTTAGATATGTCCTCAATCTTTATTGTTTGACCTGTGTTACACATATTCTTTTCTAGCCATTAAATATTTAAGAAGAACAAATTTTTAAGTTTATTTATTTATTTTTGGAGTGAGAGACAGCACACAATGGGGGGGGGGAGAGAGAGAGAGAGAGGGAGGGAGGGAGAGAGAGAATCCCAAGCAGTTTCTGTACCGTTAGCACAGAGCCCAACAGGGGGTCACACTCACAAATGGTGAGATCATGACCTGAGCCAAAACCAAAACTAGGGTGCTTGACCAACTGAGCCACCCAGGGGCCCCTAATTAGAACAAGTTTTTAAGTGTCAAGTACCGTAAGTGGTTAGACACAGAGAGTAGACCCACTCTCCCAAGACACCTGGCCATGTTGCCTCTCTTAGAAGAGCCAGGTAGATGAGGCTCACCTACACCGGGCAGAGCAGAGAACAGGAATTTCAGGGGCTGCTCTGCTTTTGTCTCTCAGGCTGGGCCGGGCTGGGGACGAGACGGGAAGGCAGTGCAAATCTCGGGCTGCCAGGGCTTTATTGCATTTGCAAAACTGGTCTGCAGATGCCACATAAGATAGAGAGCTCCGTCCAGAATCACCCACCCCCCTGCTGATTGCTCTGGCAGCCACATGCCCACATGATAACATCTTTAATATCCAGCGGGAAATGAATTCCCCTGCTTGGTCTGCCCATCTGGCCTCGCCTCTTGCCACAGTCAGTTTATCTGGCAGATCTTCCTCCCCTGCATAAAGAGGAGAAATTGTTCTTCCACAACTCAGCTTTTCATCATGAAAGCATTGTCTACGTGGCAGGGCCTGGATATTGGTTATTCCTTCTTTCCTTCCTCCCCTCCACGTTCAGGCTTCTGCATTGGCGCTGTGCTAGGCTCAGGGGATGTGGAGATGAATTGAGCATGAACCCCATCCTGGAGGAGTGAACACTCCAGTTGGGTAGCCAGACTAGAAAGCAAATAATCAAGGAACCAAGTGTAATAGAGGTAACGAAACCTCAGGAGCAAAGAAAAACAAAAAGATTAAGTCCTTCAGGGTGGTGGTGGTGGGTCTGGAAGGATTCCCCAAAGGAAATAAAAATTTTTATTCTCTCCAAAAGCTAACATTTTTTATTACTGAAGAAACACATGCTTATCTCAGAAAAATGAGAAAAAGTAATATAAAAGTATATTTAAAAA